CGGGGTGGAGGGAGGCAGAGACAGAAAACCGCACCTCAGAGCCTCCCACCATCCCTCTAGCTTCCAGGCTCATCGCCCAGGTCTGAGTGGGACAGGGGCCATCCTTCTGCTCTCCCTGAGGTATGGATGGGAGAGGGTGGGAGGGGAAGGCCCAGGAGAAGAAAGTGTTGTCAAAAGGGATAAGGACGGGGCCCTGAAGGATCTAACTCAGGTGGGCTGGGTGGGGAGTGGACCAACCTGGTCTGTCCAGGTGAGTGCCCTGAGCAGCAGTGCCTGTCCCTGAGGAGGACCTCCCCAGCCCTCAGGCAGGTGGGCAGCCAGTGGGCTGGACTTTCCTCTCACAGATGGGGACACTGAGGTCCCTGCCCAGAGCCACACAGTGGTGGGAATAGGAGACAGGTGCCGGAGAGTGCAACAAACAGAGAGGCCGAGGATGGAGAGGCCTCACGTGAGGACTGTCCCTGGCCGCACCTTGGGCTGTGGGCCTGGGTGCTCAGGTTCCAACACTGACAGGTGACACCTGGTTGGGTCATGGGTGTGGCTTGGCCACGGTCCCTGTGGGGGCCTCTGGGGCACCAGAGCTGAGCTGAATAAGGTTGCAGTCTGGCTCAGGCTGATTCAAGCCCCAAACACATTCCACTGCCCCTGGCCCTCTGGAGGACTCCTCCGGGCCCCCATACCCCTCCTCCAGCGAGACCACAGCCACCATACAAGGAAGCATCTGCCCTCCTGCTCCATCTTCACAGGCTCTGCCTGCACATATACCCTATCTCCTACAGTCCCTGAGCCTTACACACACACACACACATACACATGCCATAAGCAACATACCACACACACATACTTTCCCCAAATTTTTACTATGAGCAGCAACCAGAAACAAATAAGGACTCTGACACTTGAGAGAATTGGCCCCCTGCCCATCTTTCCCAGTGGCCCTTGCTGATCTTAAGTCAGTCACTTCTTGCCCCTCGTTTTGTGGGTGCCAGGCGCCCTCCCCTTGGCACCCCTCAGGCAGGGAAGAGCTGGCCTCAGGCTGTCTAACCCGAGGTCCAAGAGGCCTCCCTAGCCCTCCACCCTCCTGCCGTCCACCCCATCCAAGCTCCCGACAGGGCTTGCCTGGTGGACCTCCTGCTGTGTGTGAGTGCTGCCTGTCCGGGCCTCTGGAATAAGCGAGGGGTCACCACCTCTCTTAAGAGCTTCTCTCTAAGAGCAGTCCAGTGAGCCAGGCCCTGGCCATGGAGGGAGTCGTCAAATCCCCTGACCCAGTGAGGTCAGGGCCGGCAGGGTGCCCATTTACAGATGCCCATCTGAGGCTCAGAGAAGTAGATCGCCAGCAAGGAGGAGCTCAGGCTCAAGTCAGCCCAGCTGCACCTGGGTTCTTAATGGTGAAGCCAGACCACCCCATCTGCTCCCCAGAGTCGTTCTCTTTGAGCCTTACAAGGGCACCAGCTGGGTGGCTGGCCCAGGCTGGTCTCAGCCAGCACGGGTGTGGGTGTGCCGGGTTCCTGCCCCTGCAGGGCAACCAGTTCCAGAAGCTTATGCAGTTGGCCCAACAGCTGATTCTAACCTCCTCGTACGTCAGTTTCCTTTTCTGTCAACTAGGAAAAATGGTAACCACCCCTTCCCGAGGGATTGTGGTGACATTAAAAAGAGTTAAACCATGTACGGTCTTACAACCATGCCTGGCTACCGTGATTAACTTGTTTCTCCTCTAACCATCACTGCCTCTACGTCGGGACTCTGTTCAGGTGTCCCACCTCCTCCAGGAAGCCAGCCCTAACCCCCCCAGCCTGGCTTAGGCACCCTTGCCTGATGCTGGCCTCCTCCAGCACTTGTGATCCATGACTGGAGCCCCCACCCAGCCCCAACAGGGCAGGAATCACCGCTTCCTCGGAGTCAGGGACCAGCCACACTGGCCTCTGTGTCACTCTGGGGAGTGTGTGCTGGGAGGCAGCTTGTCGCCTTAAGACATTATGGGAAGGTAGGGGACCTTCTCCTGCCGGGGCCTTGCTCAGGCCCTGGAAGTGCGCCTGCTGGGGGCAGACGGAGGAGAGCACCCCTCCCCCCTCTAGTCTCAGCTAAGCCTGTGACAGGGGTCGGGGGATCAGCATGGGCTCCAGGACCTATCCTGGATGAATGACCACCACACAGCTCCTTCTGCCCCCCAACTCTGCCCCTCCTTGCACGTGCATACACAGGCCCTCACAGACTGAGATCCTCACCCCAGAGGATCCCAGAGTGGCTGGATCACTGGGTGGCACTGGCCTTAAGGAAGCTGTGAGGGACCCTGGCACACGCCCCAGCAGGGAACTCTCGGGTCCTGCATCCACTCATGTATCTGTCTGACCCACTGGGCGCTGGAGCCGGGGTAGAGTGGCCCTCAGGATACCCCTCTGTATCAGGTTGGCTGGTTTGAGGCCTTGGCAAGCCCCTCCCAGAATGAGGGTCCTGTCTCCCCCAGAGGGGTCCCAGTTGGTTCAGAGCACTGCGGTCTGCCTCCATCCCGCATGGAGAGAGTGCCTACACTTGAGGACCTGCTGGCACCCCTCCACCTGGGCAGCTCCCCGTGGGACAGGGTCGGGGTAGGGGGTTCACATCTCTCTTGTCAGTTCCAGTTCCACTGGGCCACTAAGTCCTCCGCCCCTGCACTGATGCCTGGCCAGGCAGGACTCTGCATGCTAAACTGGACCAGGACAGGGGGCTAGGTGGGGGTGCCCTGAGAATTCACACGTAAAAGTGTATGCCGAAATTCATGCAGCTGACCATCAAAGCGTGTGCATGGTGTGAGTGTGGCAAGGCAGGGCAGAGCTCACAAGCCTGCAGAAGTCAGCAGGGGCCACCTGGAAGGCTTCCTGGAAGAGGGGCGTCCCGGCGAGCAGTGAGAGGGAGACACAGGCTCTATGGACCAGGGAAGGCAGGTTGAAGACAGGCCCAGGTGTCCCGGTGAGAGCCGATGCCAGTGACCACCCCCTCTGCCCCCCCATCCTCCCTGCAGCTCCCTGTGGCCAGCAGCTCTGCAGCACTCGGCTCTGCTCCACCTCGCTCAGCTCCGCTCCAGGAAGGCCACCTCCTCCCTGCCCTCCTCCTTCCCCCCTCCTCCCGCTGTCACCACTCACCGATCACAGCCTCGAGGGGGTGGGGACCCCAGGGCTGGACACACCCCACCGTGGCCCCAGAGCCCAGCTGATCGGACGGTCGCACGGTCGGACGCAGGACCCCGGAGCCCCGAGGTGGGCAGTGTGCCAGGGTCCCTCACAGCTGCCTCAAGGTCAGTGCCTGCCAGGGATGCAGCCACCTCAGGGTCCTTGAGACCCAAGGAACCCACCCCAGGTTCCTCATCCCAAACCTCAGGGCTCCAAAGCCAGCTTTACTCCAGGTGTACCTGAGGCGGGCAGGTCAGCGGGCAGGGGGCACTCCTTTGTCCACTGGCGGGCCCAGGTCCGGGGGTCCTTCAGGAGAGGTCCCAGGCTGGGGGCCAGCACCGGCCGCGCTCACACAGGCCTCACTGGGGATACCCGGCACCGGCCATGGGGAGCTAAAATTGGAAAGTGGCGAGTGGGAGGCAGCTGACAAAGCTATTTCGCAGGCTCTTCACCGTGCTCCGGTTTCAAGCTTCTGCTCCATTAACCCGATCCTCGGGGCCTCCCTACCCCCACCCGGCCCATGAGAAGGTGCCTCAGCCCTCAGGCCCGAAGTGGAGAAGTCAGGTGGGGCAGCCCCCTGGTAGTGGCAGGGGCAACAGATTGGCTTCTCCAATTAGGGACTCCAGGGGGCTCACTGAGACCACTCAATCCCGTCCCTGGTCTACTGTGTGACCTTGACAGTCCCTGCCCCTCTCTGGTCCATGACCCCTCCATCACTGCAACAGGGAGAATGCTGACTTTAGAGGCCCAGAGGAGCTGGTTTCAGAAATGGTGAGGGAGGTTTGGGAGAGGATCTGGGGCAGGAGACAGGGCTATGCCAGCCACCCTCTTGCTCAGCCCAGACCGAAAAGATGCCTAGACACGTTCCTCCCTTTAATTTGGGCCCTGAGCCTGTCACCCACAGGGCCCCTGGGAAGGTCCTGATTTAGGTTGGAGCAGGATACAGAGGGCACAGGCTCTAACTGAGGTCCCAGAGATGACCCAGAAGGACTCCTGGGGATGAGCTAGGCCCTGGCAGGAGGGAGCGGCCAGGCTCACCCTAAGCCTAAGACTGGTCAGCACCTTGGGCAGGGGCCAGCACACTCCCTGGTGTCTGCCTGGGCCAGCCTAGCCCCACACCCACTACTCCAGGGCACCTCTTCAAATAGCACTCCTCCAGCCAGCTTCCAGGGCCTGAATACACAGAGCACTGAGAGTGGGCCGGTGTGGCCACGGGGGTGGCAGGCTGAGGCTCAGGGGCTGGGTGAGGTAATGGGGGTCAGTGAGAAGCTAGAGGCTGAACGAGAGGGATGGAGGCTTGGTGCTAGGGCAGGACCTGGGAAGGTCCTGGGAAGTGAAGGCAGCTCAGGAGCAGGTAGGGAATCACAGAAGGGTGCCCCGAGGGGGTGGGGTTTTGTCGGAAACTGTGGGAGGTTTACTGAGAGGAGTGCAGACCCTGGGGGCCAGAAATACAACGGAGGTGATGCAGAGGGAATTTCTCCACATGAAAGTCATCTGAGACCTTGGAGGAGCAGTTTGAGCAGAGGGTGGGACCGGTCCACCTGAAAGGTATGGCGGAGTGAATGAAGGTGAAGAAGGCAGGCTGAGAGTGAACAGAATGCTTTCAAGAGCCTTTGGTGGGAAGGGCGGGAGCTAGAGTGGCAGCTAGGATGGGGCACCAGGTGGTAGGGGGCCTGGGAGGAGGGGAAATAGGTGGGGGGGAAGGATGGTATGAGGTCCCCAAGGGGCAGGAAAGGCAGTTTCTCTTCAGAGTGGGATCCCTACCACCTCAGTGAGGGACCAAGAACTGCACGAGGCAGTGCTGGGGGGTTCAGGGTCCTCACCGGATCTTTCTCCCTCAGCGCCATCCAGGCTATGGGCATCAAGACAGCGTTGCCCGCGGCAGAGCTAGGCCTGTACTCCCTGGTGCTGAGTGGGGCCCTAGCCTATGCTGGCCGGGGCCTCCTTGAGGCCTCACAAGGTAACAGCTGGGCCCAGGGGCAGAGGGGTGGGACCCTTCTTCCCCTGGGGTTCTCAGCAAGTTTCTCTGCCCAGCAAGGTAGAAACTTAAGAAGCCCCAGACTCAAGGGTAGTCCCTAGGCCCTGAGCAGGGAAGGGGTCTGGGTGGGGGGGTGTTGAGCCAAATGCAATCATAGGGAGATTCAAATGCCAAAGAATCAACAGACACCTGGACAGAGCCAGAGCCAGAGCGACAGAAACAGAGAGGCTCAGACACTCGGGAATACAGAGACCTGGCCCCAGACACACAGCGAGACCTAGAGAGAATCAAAGGCAGAGAGAGACCCAGACCTTCTCTCCTCTCCCTAGGGTGGCATCAGCCTTGCTATAGAAGCAGGTATGGGTGTGAAGGGACCCCTCCCTGAGGCCACACTCTGTTCTCAGATGGGGCCCACAGGAAGGCTTTCCGGGAGTCTGTGAGACCCGGCTGGGAGTACATTGGTCGGAAGATGGTAGGTTCCCCACACCTCGGGTCACCTGACCGGGGTCCCTGATCCCTGGCACACCTTTCCCGTCCCAAACCTTGCTTGACTCTCCCCTGTTCCCAATGGTCCCACATAACAAGAGGGCTCTCAGTGGGGAGGGTCCCTGGCTTGAATTTTAGCAGCCTCAATTCCTCCAGTGGTCCCTCCTCTGTCCTCCTGGGGTCACATCAAATCTCCCAGACCCTGCTCATTTAAGAAACAACTGGAGGCATGCTTCAGCAGGGCCTCCAGCACCATCCTCCCCAGAACACTGCAATAATGGTAGAATGTCAGGCAAGGTGCTGGGCAGAGGGGGAGCTCCGAGGAGCAGGGCAGCCCATGTAGTGCCCCTCATTCCTCTCAACCTATCTTCCGGGTACTTGCCACAAGAGGGGAAGGCAGGGACCTTCCGCCACTGCTCTCCTCTAATGTATAAGAAGGCTCTGGGAGCGGGGAAGGTGCTGGGACCCTGACCAGCCCACTCTGCCTCCACCCCACCTTAACCTGCCGGGACCTGCCCCAGGATGTGGCTGACTTCGAATGGGTCATGTGGTTCACCTCCTTCCGCAATGTCATCATCTTCACCCTCTCTGGACACGTGCTATTTGCTAAACTCTGCACAATGGTTGCCCCCCAGGTGAGCTGGACCTGAGCCACCCCAGCCTCCCCCTCCCTTTCCCCTCGTAAGGGTTGTGGGAAGGCCATCCTGGGGTCCCACTTCCATTTACTTGAAGAGGTAACTGAAGCCTTCTCCAGTGGCAACCCACTCCAATATTCCTGCCTGGAGAATTCCACAGACAGAGGAGCCTGGCGGACTACAGTCCATGGGGTTGCAAAGAGACACAACTGAGCAACTAACACTTTCACATTCACACTTCCCCTGTCCACAGCTCCGCTCCTGGATGTATGCTGTGTATGGGGCCCTGGCCGTGGTGGGCATCATGGGCCCTTGGTACCTGCTGCTGCTGCTTGGCCACTGTGTGGGCCTCTATGTTGTCTCACTCTTTGGCCAGCCCTGGCTCTGTCTTGGCGTCGGCCTGGCCAGCCTTGCCTCTTTCAAGCTGGACCCCCTCATTTCCTGGCAGGTGTGTGCTGGGGCAGGGCAGGGCAGGGGTGGAGGGTGCAGGGACCAGACCCCAAACATCTTACTCCATCCAAAACCTTGGCCTCCAGAGTCTCCCCAAGCATGTCTTTCACTTTCCCACCTGTCTTCAACCCTTTGATTACACAGCATGTCTGGCCCATGAGGCAGTCACCTCCACCTCAGCATACATGTCCGGCTCTACCCCACCACTTAACTGGCGCTGGGCGGCCAGTGCTGACTTGCACCGGCAGAGGGAGAGGGCAGGACCAGGCTGGGCCCCTGCTGGAAGCGGGATGGGCTTCCCAGAGACAAGGGGCATCCTGGTGAGCCGACGGCCTGTTCTCTCCCATCCAGAGCGGGTTTGTAACAAGGACTTTTGATCTTCAAGAGGTGCTGTTTCACGGGGGCAGCGGTTTCACGGTGCTGCGTTGCACCAGTTTCGCGCTGGAGAGCTGTGCCCACCCTGACCGCCGCTACTCCCTAGCCGACCTGCTCAAGTACAATTTCTACCTGCCTTTCTTCTTCTTCGGACCCATCATGACCTTTGACCGCTTCCACGCTCAGGTGAGGGGACGGACACCCTGTGGGCTCCCAAAACAGGACTAAGCCCCTTTCCCCCACCATGACTGGCAGTGAACCCCTCGCCGGAGCCAGAGGGGCCTGATCTCCACACTCGGGGCAGCCGGGATGAAGCGGCGTCTCCCCTCACCCTCAGGTCCCGACAGTTGGTGACTCACCATTCAGACAGGGCTCCTCCCGCAGGCAGGGCTGGCCTCCCCGCTCAGACACTTGGCGTCCCCTCAGGTGAGCCAGGTGGAGCCCGTGCGGCCAGAGGGCGAGCTGTGGCGCATCAGGGCCCAAGCAGGACTCAGCGTGATAGCCATCTTGGCCGTGGACGTCTTCTTCCACTTCTTCTACATCCTCACCATCCCCAGTGACCTCAAGTTCGTCAACCGTCTCCCGGACAGCGCCCTCGGTGGGTGCGCGCCGGGCCCGGCAGAGGGACGGGGGTGGGCAGCCACTTCAGAACCGACCTCAGCCTCCCCCCTCCCCGCCACGACAGCGGCGGAGTCACAGCCGCGGCAGCATCTAAGGAAGGGTGGGGGAGCGGGGCTTTGCTGTTTGAAATGCGCGGGACTTGGAGGTAGGCTTGCCCTGTGAGGCCCGGAGGGGTATCCTACAGAGGGCGCCCCACTCCACTTGGGGCCTAGGGCCGATTTCCACAGCCCGACAGCATCTCCCCAGGGCCAGCCCCGCCCTCGGAAGTGGGGCGGGACCTCCGTGGGGGCGGAGCCTCGTGGGGGCGGTCCGGGCGCAAGGACCGCCCCAGGAGCTGGTAATTTTCCGTAGGTAAAGTCTGGGCTCATCTACCACGCTGGATTTGGGAAGGCCCTGGGCAGGGAGAGGGGCGGGAGGGGATGCCAATGTAACGGCCCCCAGGCAGTAACGACCCTCTGTCCGCAGCTGGCCTAGCCTACTCAAACCTGGTGTACGACTGGGTGAAGGCGGCTGTCCTCTTCGGAGTCGTCAACACCGTTGCGCGCCTCGACCATCTGGACCCGCCCCACCCTCCCAAGTGCATCACAGCGCTCTATGTCTTCGCAGAGACGTGAGTGAGAGGTCCGGGGACACGCCCCCGGTATCCCCACCTTCCCTTAGCCTCTTCCCCCATGCTCCAGAGCTGGGCGCCTGGCCGATTTACACCTGTCTGCTCTCTTCTCCTCCTACAGACACTTTGACCGTGGCATCAATGACTGGCTTTGCAAGTGAGTTGGGGTGGGGTGGGGGGATGTCACAGCCATCCCCCAGGTGTCTGAGTAGGGCCTTGTCCAGATGGGTCCACGATTTCAAAGGTCACCCCCTGGGCCAGAGGAAGCAAGGTGGGAGTGAGGAGGTCATGGTAGAGGTTTAAGTGAAAGATGGGGGTTTGGACGTGGGTAGGGGCCCTGGAGGTGAGAGAATGGTGGAGTGGAGACACAGCAGGGCAGCCTGGACAGGACTTGACCCCGGATTGAGGGCATCAGGAAGGAGGGGGTGATGACTCCCAGGAAGTCGTGTGCTAGGAAGGACTCTAGTTGAAGGGAGAAGGCGGAGCTGGCAGAAGGGACTAAAAGGAGTGTCAGAGGAGCAGGAGAAAAGTCAGGATCATGGGACACCCTGGAAGCTAAGGGAAGCCCATTCTGGCATGGTGGGGGCAAGCAGGTTGGATGCTGCTGAAGCCAGAGACTGAGCATGAGTGTTGGTTGCCTGCAGGTTTTCAGCGTTTCCCGAGAGACACAGGGGCAGGGGAGGAGAGGGAAAGTTGGGGGGGGGGGGCACTGAGGAACTGCAGGGGAGTTCCGACGTGGACAACCCCTGGAAGAAGCTTGGCACTGAAAGGAGACACATAGGAATGGCTGAAGGGAGAAGTAGGTGTTTTAAAGACAAGAAATAATGAGATATACTTGGGCGCTGAGAGGAATTATTCAGTAGAGGGGAAGAAGTCGGCAATGTAGGATAGAGGGGTGATTGATGGAGGGAGGTTCCTGAGAAGGGAAGAGGCAATGGAACCAGTGCCAGGCAGAGGTCTGGCTTCAGGACAGGGAGGAGGAAGAAAAGCCAGTGTGGATGTAGAAGAATGGTGGGTGAGTGTGGAAAGGTGAGGGATTCCTCCTGAAGGCTTCGATTTTCTCTGTGAAACAAGAGGCAAGGTCATCTGCTGAGAGCTGTTTGTTTGGGGATGGAGGGCGGCAGCTTCTGTGTGCCTCCCTTGCTTAGATCACCACACACCCACTCATACCTGCCGGAGAGGTGAAGGTGGAGTAGCGCTGCAGAGCCTGGGAGAAGAAGCTGACTAGAGAAACTTTGACACTGACAGCCCAGATAGTGTGGGAGGTGGTGGGTTTATGGATTCTAATATGTCAAGGTGTGGGATTCTTCCCATCAGGGTTTAGTTTCTAGGGTGAAGGTGAGGAGGAAGTGGGTGATTTGGGCTTTCCCAGATGGGTGAGAAAGAAGAAGTGAGGGAGAAGGGTTTTTAGGTTATTTGTGATGATGACTCATTGAGTATAAGCCTGTTAAGAAGGGTGGTAAAAATAGAATGGCATCAGGAGATGAGGAAGGTAGGGGGAGTCAATGAGATTGAAGAAGTGGAACTAGGGAGTCAGATCAGTCCCTAGTGGGGCTGGGTGAAGGATGGAAATCAGGAAGAAGTAAAAGAAGTGGTGAAAAAGTTGGGGTGTGGCCATGGGAGTGGGTGACTGGAGTGGAGTGGAGAAGAAGTCATTGGAAATGAGGTCAAGTAACAGAGACACTAGCTATGCAACAGGTCTTCAACCAAATTTATTTAACAAATATTTATTGAGTATCTATCTACTGTGTGCCAGGCACTCACTGTTCGAGGCTCTGGGGATACAGTTGTGAACATGGCAAAGACCCTGAACTCATGGTAGTTACAGTCTAGTGGGGAGAAACAGACCATCAACAGGTTAAAAAAAAGAGAGAGAGAAAGATAATTTTAGAGAGTGGTAAGTGTTATGAAGAAAATAAAAGAATGTAATGGGATAGACTCTTCTTTAGTTGGGGTCCAGGCAGGCCTCTGTGAGATGAACTGAGACTTGAATGATAGGAAATGTGGAGGACAGATTTCCAGGCAGAGAGAAAAATAGGTACAAAGGCTTCAAGACAGGAACCAGCTGTGTGTCTCTGAGCGTCAGAAAGTCTGATAGGGGGAAAGCACAGTGAACGAGGTGGAGAATGGTGGGTGATGAGGTCAGGGAGGGAGGCAGAAACCAGACAATGTGGGATCTTCTAGCCATAGGAAGGTGGTTGAGTTTAACTGTAATGAGGAGCTATTGAGGGAGGGTATAATTGTGGAAGTGAGGTAATCTGGGTTACACTCTTAAAAGACCTGCCTTGACAGGGAAGCCTGGCATGCTGCAGTCCATGGGGTTGCAGAGAGTCGGATGCAACTGAGCAGCTAAACAACAGAAGCTGCTGTGTGGACAGTGGACAGTAGACGGCAGAGGCAGAACCAGGGAGATAGCTTAGGTCCCTGCAATAATCTGTGTAAGAGGAGATGATCGCCTGGACTCGAGTGGTGTTACTGGAGGCATGAGCAGTGCTCAGGACTGAGTGGAGGCTGTAGAATTTGCTCACTTGGATGTGAGTGGAGAGGGGAATTGAGAATCCAAGATGGCACGAAGAGCTCTGGCAGCAACGGAATGGATGGTGGTGTCATTAGCTGAGATGGGAATGAGGCAGGTTTGGGCAGGGATGAGGGAGTCCGTCATTCATATGAGGTGTCTGGTAACAGTTGGATTTATGAGTCAGGAGATACATTTGGGGCTCATCAGCATAGAGATGGCATTCAGAGTCTTGGGTGTGGATGAGATCACTTGAAGAAGGAAGGTAGCTGGAGAGGACGGGAAGTTCAAGGCTGAGCCCTCCATATTTTGAAGCTGGATAGAAGAGGAGCAGCCACCTGAGGCCCAGGATGTTGAATATGCCCCGGATGATAGTGTTGAGGAAGCTGCCCCACTTCATGTATCCTTTGCCCACCTCCCACCCTCCCACCGCCCCCTTTTTCCACCTTTCCTGCAGGTACGTGTATGACCACATTGGTGGGCAGCACTCTGCAGTGATCCCAGAGCTGGGGGCCACCATAGCCACATTTGCCATCACCACTCTGTGGCTTGGACCTTGTGATGTTGTCTACCTGTGGTCATGCCTTAACTGCTTTGGGCTCAATTTTGAGCTCTGGGTACAGAAGCTGGCAGAGATGGAGCCCCTAGCGCAAATTGAGGTGAGCAGGGAAGGACTGGGGCTGGGGTTGGCTGGGGCCCTGGAGTAGGTGGCACTACTGACCTCTGGAGTCTTCCAGCCACACTTGACTCTCAGTCCAGAACTTTCTTACCACCACCCTCCTGGTCATCAGGGCAATGACTCCTCCTGTGGGTATCTGGCTCTCCCTTACCTTCTGCAGGGTGGGGGCACCTGGCGCTAGCTGTGTTGATCAGGTCGTGTCCTCTCTCCAGGGTGCAGTTTCCCATGTTTAACAAAGAGGGAGGGCTGACCTGTGAGTCTCAGAGACACGGGCATATCCTAGGATCCTGTGGCCATGTGGGCAAGGCCTCTGACTCATTGTATCCTCTTTTCCCCTGGGCCTCTTGCCTCACTGCCAATGTTTTCCTGGACCAAGCAGACCTCTCTGTCAGAGCAGATGTCCCGCAGGGTCCGAGCCGTCTTTGGAGCCATGAACTTCTGGGCCATCGTCATGTACAACCTTGTAAGCCTGAACAGCCCTGAGTTCACAGAGCTGGTCGTCCAGCGCCTGCTGCTCTCAGGTGAGGGACAGTAGATACAGGATGTGCCCTGTGTCCACTTCGAGAATCGTGACCTCCTGAAATGTCCCCACCCCACTCCAATTCCTCAAGGACCCAACAGGGAGGGGGCAGTCAAGTGGGGAGAGAAGAGTCTCGGGGGGAGGGGGGCTCTGCTCCTAGGACCCATGACCTGTTCCCCACCCAGGGTTCCCCCGGACCACGCTGGCCATCCTGTTTGTCACCTACTGTGGTGTCCAACTGGTGAAGGAGCGAGAGCGAACCCTGGCTCTGGAGGAGGAGCAGAAGCAGGACAAAGAGAAGCTCGAGTAGGGGTGGAGGGGAAGAGGGATGGGTTCTGCTCAGCTCTTCCTGGGCCCTGGTCCAGGCCAGGCCAGATGGGGCCTGGACTGATAGAATAAAAGACTTTTCTACCATGGTTTGGCCGTTCCCTTCCCCTTCCTCCCGTGGTCTCCCAGCTCCCTGTCCAGGCCAGATGAGGAGCTGGAGGTCCAGGGAGGGGGCTCAAACTCTCGGCGCACACACAGTGTGTAGGAGACACATGTGGAGGGCAGAGGCCACCAACCTTGGCAGCCGAGCAGCTGAACACAAGAAGCCCCAGGTCTTTAAACCACCTGGTCACTGCTGCTTGGAGCATCTCATCCCAGACTCAGCTGCTTGCTCGGAAGGCACTTTATTCTTCTTGCAGAAGGAGACTTACTCAGGCTGCAAGGTGCATTAGATGGGGTTGCTCCCCACCTGACAGGCGAGGAGGCTGAGTCCTGTGGGGCATTTACCGGCACACAGCCAGTCTGGGACTGGACCAGGGTGCAGTCTGACACCCCGTGAGGTTCTGCCTCATAGACCAAGAACACTGGGGGATATGAGACACTGGAAAGGCCAAAAGTTTCTTATCCCTGCCCGAAGGCCCAGCACTGGGCAGCGATTTCCCTGTCCCAGCTGAAGCAGCTCCTGGGGCACCATGACGGGATAGGATCCAGGTGGGCTCTGCCTCTGCCAAACTCCTCTGCCAGGGACTCCTCCCTGGAGTCCCCACCCAGAAGGCCAGGCCTCTGTGGTCTACAGCATGGTGGACAGGGCACATTCAGGCCCTCTGGGCAGGTCACAGCTTGGTCAGGCGCAACACGTTGAGCCGCACAGGTAGGAAGGTGGCACCGGCAGCGTAGGCGATCTCCCGGAGGACCCCCTCCCACTTCTTCTTGTCCTCATTGTATCTGGGGTGGGAGGAGTGGGGACAAGGACATAGAGCTCAGTCAGCCAAGTCCAGGGTGGGACCCAGCAGGAAGAGTACAGCAGGCAACCCCTGGGAGGTGCTGCCTCCCAGCCCAGGCCCACCTCCTTCCTTTCCATGCTCTGGGAAAGGGGCGGGCACCTACCTAAAGAACCTACATTCTAGGAAGGGCTTCCTCTGAAGAATTCTACATTCTTTTTTTTTTAACCACATAGCATATGAGGTCTTAGTTCCTTGACCAGGGATGGAACCCATGCCCCCTGCATTGCCTGCATTGGGAGGATGGAGTCTTAACCACTGGACCACCAAGGAAGTTCCAAGAATCCCATACTCCTTGAAGTACACCTCCTTCCGGGAAGGTCTACACCTCCTCAATCCCCTCCTCTTGAGAATTTCTGAACTGAACCCTCCAAGAAGTAAGCCCCACCACCCTCAGTGTCTTGGGTCCTGTTCTCCCAGCAGTGCTGCTCCCTAGAGGCCGCCTGCAGTACTGGCATCACTGAAGGTTCAAAAGCTGCCCCAGATGGCTGAAACCTCTCCTGACCACCCCCAGATAGGATCAACCAAAGAAGCAAGGCACTGAGAAGCTAGGATCCAGCTACTTCTCAATCCCAGTCCAGCTCTCTCCCTCAGGAGGGAGGAGAGAGGAAAAGCCCACTCTGCTCCCTCGGGCCCATTTCTGTGGGTCTGGGTCCTAACCTGGGCATCGGCTTCTGACTGTGACACTGTTGATACCCCACAGTGGGGTAGGGTGCCATGTGTGCACATCCAGACTTTCCCAACCAAATGAAGAGACCCTGGGCTAAGCAAGGCATGTCTGCTGTCCCGTCCCCATAGGGTTCCCTGGAAGGCGGTCAGCTCTGCCCCACCCATGAGCCTGCCAGGCACTGCCTCGGTGCCCGGCCAGCCTTGCTCACAATTCCTCTTCCCTCCCTGGGGCCAGGCTTACCTCCAGATGTCGTTGAGCTCTGTGGGAACCAGCTCCCCGGACTCCGTCTCCAGAGTGGCAAAGCCACCGATGGCATAGAGGGTGCCCGCCAGGCTGACCAGGCTGAGTGAGCTGCGCTCCTGTGGGAAGGCCTCAAAGGGTGCCCACCTGATGGGAAGGAGGGGGCATTAGGGGGGTGCCCCCATGGGCCTTGGCAAGCCCAGTGACTGTCCCCTGCCAGCATCCATAGCTTCAGCTGCACCCTTCAAAATCCAACTCCCAGGCATCCATTCTGCAAGCACAACCTCCTCTTCCCTGACTGCTCAGGAACACCCTCTGGTCTTCTCTTCTTCCCCATTCTCTTGCCCTTCACGTTTCCCTTCACTGTTCCCCTATCATTCCATCCAACCTATCCCCCGTGAAACCCACCAGGGATCTCCCCAAGGTCCCACCTTTGCTCCTAAACCAACTCCTACTGGCCACCTCAGTCACCACTGAGACCATCCTGTGCACTCCTGCCCCATCCCTCTTCTCCCCTTCACAGCCCAGAGCCTCTCAAGCTGCCTTCACTCCCCTAACTCCCGAGGTTGGACCTCCATCCCTCCAAAACCCCGCTCCCCACCACCGGAGTTCAGGTCTCTGGAATCCAGGGCCCACAGTACACACCTCTGTTGACATGACTTTCTTCACCTTGCACCTCCCCAGCCTCACCTCGTAGGTTTCCTTGCTGAATAAAGCATCTGCCCCTGCTGTCCCTCAGGACCTGGGCCTCAGCTTCTCCCACTCACACTCTCTCTCCTGAGGGAGCCTGTCCCCACGGAGTACTGTTGACCCCCAGATCCCACCCTCCAGCTCAGCCCCCCCTCTGCCCTGTAAGCTCCTCCTGGACACCCCCAAGCATCTCACATCCACATGTTCTAAGTGGACCATCATTTTTCCTACCTAACTTCAATAGTTCCTCAATAAATGACCTCCCAGCCTCACACAAAAGTATCCACCTGTCCCTCTCACCCCCACCATTCAATCAATTGCTAAATTCTGCTTCTTCTGTCTCCTGAACTCTTGCTACTGAGTATGGCCTATGGACCAGCAGCATCAGCATCACCTGGGGAGTTGTTAGAAATACACTCTGAGATCCCTCCCCAGACCTGAGATTCAGAATCTGCATTCTAGCATGATCCCCAGGAGATTCTTGTGCATGTGAGAAACACTGGCCTAGATCTTTCTCTGGTGGATCCTTTCTGCCCCATCACTGCTGTACCCCCAGCTCCAGGCCACCATCAGTACTTGCTACACAGCTGTACCCCTGCCTCCTGGGAAATCCCTAATCTCTTCTCTACATGGTCTGCCATGAGGCATCTTGGTAAAACACAGATGGGAGCTTAAAACCCATCAGAGGCATTTCACTACTCTGGGGATAAACTGCCTCAGCCCACTGGCCATCTCTCCAGCCCCAGTATCCACCAACCCCACCTCCCTTCACCCACCACACTCCATCCAGCCTGACCAAAGCCCTTTTCTCCAATGGGCTTGCCTTTTTTCCCTCCTAACTGCCTTGGCACTAGCCTTCCTTTGCCTTCAGGCATCCTCCCACCACCCCTTTAGCTGGCAGAGTCCAGCTGGCCTGCTAGCACAGTTTTCTTCCTGACCTCCCTGGGCAGAGCAGCTTCTATCTTGGTTACTGCTGTTATCTCTAGCCATCAGGCCAGTGACCGGTATGAGTCTCTGAATGAGGAACCTGGCATCTCCTGGGAGCTCTTGCCTGCAGTCCTGGCTGGCCATAACACTTGCCCCATCTTGTAGGGGAAGCCACCTCACTGCTGACCAGAGTAAAGGGGCTAGGTCTGTGCTGATGTCCAAGCTCAACAGTGGAGACCCAAAGTAGGTGCTATGATTCCTGCCAGGGTAGACACAGAGAGGGCTGACATAGGCCCAAAGCCACGGGGCCAGAGGGTTTACAGTGGGGACCTTCGTCCTTGGCTGTCCTGTGGAAGGGGGCGGGGAGGTGGGAAGCAGCCATACTTGTTGTCCGCAATGCTGTACACTTCGGCTGAGCTGGTCAGCCCTGTGTCTGTGACCCCAGCAGCTACAAAAATGCGGCCATCATGGATGGTGGCCCCGAAGAGTGAGCGGGGAGTCTTCATGGGCGCCAGCTCCCTCCACTCGAACTTCTTAGGGTCGTAGACGGACATCTTGTTCAGGCACTTCCTATGGGGTCGGGGTGGGGGGGGCAGTTAGAAAGGAGAAGGCGGGGGGCAGAGCCGCCTCTCTCCCTTGGCCCAGTCCCTCCAGCTGCCTCCCAAGGCAGGCGGGACAGACCCCTGACAGCCTCGGGGAGACTCGGCTTCGGTTCCGCCCGCCGACCCGGCTGCTGCACTCCCCGCTCCAGGCCCGGGCCTCACCTGTTGCTGCCTTTCCCGCCAATGACGTAGACCAGATCCATATGGGAGAGCACCGAGTGTCCGTACACGGCATAGGGCAGCGGGTCCGATTCGCCCCATTTGAACGACCTAGAGGGGAGGGCAGTAAGGCGCTCTCTGTCCGTCTCTGCGGTGGGCGGATGCCCACCACCCAACACGTGTTGGGATGCACCCAACCGGAACTCCTCAGACCGCTCGGCTCCTCGCTCTCACTTCACCTGCCAGCCCCGCCCCGCCCCGCCCCGCCCCCCGGATCCTTGGCCCCGCCCCGCAGCCCGCACTCACTGTCTGTCGTAGCACAGGACGGAGTCCAGGCTTTGCTCGTCGTCCTTGAGCTCTCGGCCGCCGACCACGTAGATGGAGTTAAGAGCCTCTCCCAGTCCGAAGAGGCAGCGCGGCGACGGCAGCGGCGGCATCCCCAGCCACTCCGAGTCCAGGTGGTCAAACTGCGGGCCGGGCGGCCAGTCAGCGACCTCCCCACGCCCCCCCCATCAACCCCTCTCCCCAGCCTCGGCCCAGCGCCTTCTGTCCACCCCCCGCCCCGGGTCCTGAGGAGTCCGGGCCTGCAGGTAGGGCCAAGGCAGCCTGGAGGCGGTGCCTGGAGACAGTGCCCCTCCTCCTATCGGGCTGAGGACAGCCGAGGGTCCCGACCCCACAGGGGCCCGGAGATCACTTTTATAGCACCGTGATGGGGCATTCCTTGCAGAGCTGAGAAGGAGTCTCTGAGAGGGAG